AGTCAGAATTAGGTATAAAAACAGAGATCACTTGGAAGAGTATCTCAATCAGAATTTGACAGAAAGGTAAGTTGAGGCCCAGGGAAAGCACAGGACGAGGAGACGATCTGTTAATGCTATCAAGATCAACGGTCGTCAACCCTTAGAACTTCACAAATCACTATAATTTTATATTTGGCAAACCACTAATATGGATTACAAAAAAAAGGTTAGTACGTTTATACAATAATAATCAGAAAACTACACATATTTCGTTCACATTGAAAAATTACATGAAAAGTACAAAAATCTTACCTTCTTGTACAGAAAGCTTCACCTTTCCATATCACTGGAAAGGAACTTTACGAAAAGCAAGAACAAATCGGCAAACGCAAAGCAATATCAATAAAGTGATATTGTCATCCCGCCAATTTTTAATTATTGTAAACATAATTATCTTCGCTTACTCAGCAATGGTGCCATTGATCAACAGTTGGACAAAAATCGGTAAATTCAGAAGGAATTTCGCTAAAAGTAGTAGCTAAAATTTAAAAAAAAAGTATAAGCCATATTCCATAATAGGTTTTGTTACTCGTCATTTTTTAAGCTGAATCATCATAAAAATATAAATAATGTCCCTATTTTCAAGATTTCAGTCTTTGGATTTAATCCCACATGGCTTGTGCAGTTTATTAAGGATGCCATTAATGTACAGGATCACCGATATTGTGATTTCGTCTGTTATATACTGATATACATATGGAACGAAACACATCGAGATGGCTTCCTTATCAGCAATCAGGAATGCTAGTAAATAAGCATTTGTAAAATATGCATAAAAAACTTGATGATTACCTGGTACTTAAAATTTATTAAACATTCCTGGCTGCTTTATTGCTTATATTTACATTCTTCAATTTTTTCTGTAACATATACAATTTCAGCTTACGTAACGGCGATTGTAACCTAAGTATTCATTTGATCGAAGTTTTTTCTCTCTTAATTAATGACTTTAATTAGCAACATAAATTTTCTCCGTAGTTTGACATTACGACAAAATGTTTCTCGTAATTGCGCTATCCAACTTAATTATGCAATTGACAGAAGTTCTTTAATTTTACTTCATGGAGTAATTTATTAGAACTTACAACGAAGCGGAAAAAAAAATAAAACAGAAAAACGTGAGGTTGTGAACTGTTTAGCTGATGATGATTTGCTGCAAAACTTCGAAGAAGTGACTTTCTTTCTTCTAACAAGGAAACTTCGCAGTGTCCATTCATTTGAAGAAGTGCTTTTATCATTGGGTGTTACTACGTGACACAAAGAAAAAACAATCTTTTTATCTCCACGCGATAAACCAGATATTGCGTTTTCGTTTCAAAGACTTGGTGCACTCGTATCAAAGGGACGATGTTCTGTTATTACCAACTAAAGTTTTTCGCTAACGAGTGCAAGAGAGAAAATCACGTGATCCATTTTCAACAAATTTTCTATTTTTCACCTTTTTTTCTTTCCACTGCAGCACATTTACTTTCCATTAGAGTACTTCCTTATTAATGTAGTATCGTCTGATATATTTTTGAGTATGTTCAATCCGAGGTATAATTGCAAAATTATTCGGTAGCAGCAAGGAAGTAAAATAATATAGAAATAAGAAGAATTTAAGATGCAAAATTTAATTCATTTGAACGAGAAAGTAAAACTTTTTAAAGATATTTACAGTCGGAGGTGAGAAAATGACTTTGGTAAAGTTTTATACTTAATTTATATTAAGAAACTCCGACATCTAACTTATAATATCTTCGTTTTAAATCATACAAAAAAAATCCCATTCCCTTTTTTCTTCCTTGTACGAAGTCAAGGAAGTATTGTAATCACGAAAAATTTCGAGTGTCATATATTTTAACGAAAATATACATTTTTACCGTTCTCGAATCCATCTGAGCGATGTTTTTTCGTGACATCTTTATGTACGGACAGAATAAAGGACGCCCGAAACGGATTGTAAAATGAATTTAGAAGAGATTTATTCCGTTACGTCTGTACATACGTACGTATATATCTCGCATAACTCAAAAACGAGTAGCCGTAGAATGTTGAAATTTTGTATATGGGACTGCTATGACGTGTGGTTATGCAAACTCATTTTCGTTGCAATTGGCCGCACCAGACATATATGTACCCACTCTGTTATCCTTTTTTTGTATTCTTAGAAGTTGGTAAATTATGTATTTTTTGCTTTAAAAGTGATTTAATTATATTATGATCCGGTTAATGTTTTTATGCGTTTAGTTAATCTGCATGCAGTAGTTTTAGAATTATCAACAATTTAAAACTTTTAAGTGGCGAGTTAAGCCTAACGAACAGCCATTTTTACAATTTTGAATGCAAATGTTTTGAGTTTTTATGTATTTCTGCTTTGCCGAGAATTGAGAATTTAATTAATTGAATGAGAATTATATCTCTCATGAAATTCGAGGGAATAATTTTAAGTGTCCATAAGCAACAAAAGGTGTGCATAATTTAATAAGCCGTACAAGGAAGTCATATGGTGTCTACATCAGATATTTTAAAATTTGCATTATTCTAGCTTCATGTAATCTAATGAAGTTTTGGCGATAAACTGACTTCATTTTACTAGTCTGACTAAATGACCCATTTTTAATGGGCCCCTACTGTTTTTATTGCGATGTCGTTTTAGTAAAAATTCCAGTATTTTCTCTTTGTATGAGTACTTTAAATGTATATGTACTGTAAAAGTTATATTTTGAAGCTCAAATTTCGTACATTTTAATCAGCTGATGAATATTAATGTAGTGGGAAGTTCAAGTAACGTAAGACTACAATCAATATTAATGTAGTCTTACGTTACTTAATTCATTTCGTAAGTTGGCCATACTGTTCTGAAACCAGCCATTCAAGAGATAATTAACGGCATAATTTTTTAATAATTAATTGCTTTATTATTATTTTAAATTAACCAATAGCCGTGCAGATTAGCGTGCCGATAATCATAATTCGACCCGAATTACGACTCACCAGTGTTCAAAATATCAAATCGACAAACACTGATACTTCAACCTAGGCTCAAATCGTCTGTGAACGTGCTTGGTTGTATTGGATTGTTGTGAATTTTCTCATATGTAACTTACTGGTGTGCAAAAATTAAGGACGAGACGGTTTTTTCAATATAACTTTGTACAAAAGCTTTCCAAATCAACACATTTAATACCGTAAGATCACCAATACGTAAGGACATGAGTAATGTAAGCAACACTTACTAAATGAGAAATCAGAGGGATAAAAAGAAGCTCTATTGAAAAAGTAGCATGGAGCGCAATGCGACTGAAGGCCGAAACATCCCTGTGATGGGTGTCCAGCAAGAAACATCCGGTCTTTAATAGGGGATATGATCTCCCCTGACTGCTAGGCAGGTTTCACAGTGTCTGCCCATGCTGAGAATGAGGGTGTCAATGAGTTGTTGAGGCATTGCTGCCCATTCGTCTTGCAGCGCCAATCGAAGCTCCGAAATCGTTACTGGTGGTAAGGTACGAGCTGCCAAGCGTCTGCCTAGAAAATTCCATACATGCTCGACGGGATTGAGATCCGGAGATCGTGCCGGCCAATCCATACGTTCAATATCCTCACTCTCTAAGAGCTGTTCGGCAGCTACTGTGCGATGACATGGTGCATTGTCGTCCATGAAAAGGAACTGCGGACCCATAGCGCCTCTAAAAAGACGCACATATGGAAGAAGAATCTCGTTACAATAACGAGTCCCGTTGACTGAACCTGCGTCGAAGATGTGAAGGTGTGTACGACTACCAAGCATGATGCCTCCCTAAACGATAACACCGCCACCTCCATACCTGTCCCTTTCAATGATGTTCGAGGGATGATTGCGGCTTCCCCGCTCTCTCCAGATGAGTATGCGATGAGAATCGCTACTCAGACTGAATCTGCTCTCATCTGTAAAGAGTACTCGTCCCCATTCATTGTCTCTCCAATTCTGGTATTCCCGGCACCACAAAGAAGGCCTTCTCCGATGGTCAGGCGTTAGAGGTACACACCGTACAGGGCGTCGTGCAAACAGACCACCACCGTGCAGTCTTCTGGCCACGGTAAAACGCGATATCGTCGTCTAGTCGCCTGTGTCGTGTGTCTAGCGATTTCTCCCGCTGTCTGCGGCCTGTAAGGCAATATACCGGTCATCTGCGGGTGGGATTCCTCGTGGACGACCACTACTAAACCCCCGGATAGTGTTTCCTGTAGTTGAAATTGTCTCCAAGTCGTGAAAGATGCTATGAGCAATTCCGAACTCTGCGCCACCACACACACTGCGGCCTTCTCCAACTTCCCAATGATTCGACCTCGGTAAAAGATCCAGATGTCGTCTAACAGATTGATTATTAGCCTTTCTCGCTGAGGCAGCAACTCAGTGGATTTTAACTGCTATACGGCTGCAATCTCTTTGCCAGATATCTGATCTACAAACCGACAACATGCTTTATACTACTCAGAAACTCACCCATTACGTCTACCTGCATATCTGCGCATGTGCTACCGTACATCACCTTACTTAATCTCCTGATTGGTCTTTCTGTCTGCTCTGCCTTTTCGTTCAGCTGATATGCTAATTTTTAGACTTCGCCCTTAATTTTTGCACACTAGTGTATATTTCTTTTAGGAAGTCCTAAGCTGAAAGCCCTTGTGTTCTTTGTCATAATCAGTCAGTTAACTACAGTGGGTTTCTAACTTACCAGAAATGGGTTGTATTGTCAGTTTTTTGATTAACCGCTGCAACATTTCAAAATTTAAGAAATAGCTTGACTTACTCTTTTGATTATCAACTTCCTTTCCCTTTTCTCTACACGTGTCAGAGAAATTTTGATTTGAAAACAGCATTCCCAATGTTACGTAATATTGAACAAAATATTTTGTTCTATTCTAAGAATATCTATAAATTTAAGGTGTATTACTATATTTATGACAGTTATATATTTAATTGTAATTCATTATTATATTTTTAAGGTCAGACGGATAACAGAAGAGTAAATTCATATGGAATCGTAGTGATATACTGTTATGGAGGCTCACTTCGTTCGCTGCTTTCTTTTGAGGTATTTATATATTTAATATTAATTTACAAAATAATATTATATTTAATTACTATTATTAACGATGAACTATCAGCATGTATGTGTGTATGTTCGTCGCATTACGGGAAAATGGTGACATGTAGAGCCGCCAGATTTTGACCAAATGTAATCCTCTATCCTCGAATATGCGCATCTCGAAGCCCGAATTTTGAATTTGATTTTTTGTTCATTTTTTATTTTACAACAATTCAGTGGTATTTTGATTAACAAGCTCAACGATTTAAAAGCAATGTATTACCTCTCGGCAAAATTTGTTTCAAATTTTATGAGAAAACTCATCGATTTAAAAGAAATATATTGTCACTGCTGGATGTAAAATATTATTATCTTTCGCATGCTAGCTGCCATTCGAAAAAGTGTAATTTATTTCATCTTTCTTTAAACGTAATCTGTGTTTTGATGAAAAACAAAGCAAGCGATTTAAAAGCAATAAACGAAGTTCTTCGTCTTTGTTGATTAATAACTTAACTGGAGACGTAAAATTACACTGCCTCGTTAAAACCATTATAATCCACCAGAGGCCGAGTGGTAAATTAGCTGAATACTTGTAGTTCGACCTGGTTTCGATTCCTGGTGAACGGGGATGAGTGCATAGGCGTTTTCTTGGTTTACTCCATGTGCAACGCCCACCAGCCGCCGAACGGTAAAGTCACTTATCACTAGTAGGTCGGTCCAAGGTTCGAATCTCACGAAAGACCTGGCTGCATGGCTGTTTTCGTGGTTTTTCCCTTGTGTTACGTGTATACAAGCCAGTTTCCCTTAGAAAGCGCTCCACGAATGTCATCCCTAACCTTAGGCAAATATCCCTAATGAGCTTTGCCGTAATCTCAATAAACCAAACCAAACCCACGTGTGACGCGAATAAGAGTCAGTTTTCCTTAGAAAATCCTCCATGAAGTCCTCCCTTCCCTTAAGCAGATAGCCTTCACATGCTTTGCCATAGTAAAAAAAAAGCAAAACCAAACCATTATGTATTCTTTCTTTTTTATAATAATTATTTAAGGCGCCAACTTATTAAAAAGATAGAAAAGAAATTTAACAAAAGAAATATATGTATGTAAAATATAAAAAATAGGATGGCTTTGCTCTTTGCGAACCAGCAACCTTTAATTAACTTTCTGCAATTCCAGATCTTCTCCTAGACCAGTACTTTCCAGAATATTCACGCCTATTACGTAACCGCTACTATAAATAACGAATGCGTGCCATTTTGCGGACAGAAGCTCCACTTACCCTCTGCTAGTAAGTTCTATGCTGCTGCGCTTCTCATCTTTCTTCCCTTTGTTAGAATAATTATGATATCAAAAGCCTAGATTTCATCGTATTTAGTTTGAAACACTATTTGATATGTAATTAGGAGATTTCATCTAAAAGAAAGATTATCTGCCACTGGAATTGACTAAAGATGTGCCATTAAAAAGCAAAATCCTTCTGCGTCATCATTCTGCTGCCTTATCACTCAACCAACCCGGACTTTGATGCCAAGCTTCGTCATTTCATGTCCACGACTGCTAAAATATCACATATATAAATTTTAAACTCTTGAATTTTAATAAGAGTTCATTTTTTTATTTTAATTTAATGTAATTTAATTTTATTTATTTATTTATTTATTTTGTAGTCTTTCTAAATCAAAGCAAGGGTAAGAGGAAAGAAGATTAGTTCAAGAGTTAATGTAAATAAACGCTAACTGGAACACCGAATTCTATCTGGCAAACTGATATTAAGAAGCTATTGGCAATCGAGCTCAGTTAAAATTACAAATAATTGCATTCTTTTCTTTCTTACTGTTCTTTTTAATGATTGATACTATTTAACGTAGACGAAATTGATCTGGGTTAAAACATATGATAAATTTTTAAATTAGGGTTCCAAAGATTCGAATACGAAAAATTAGTTAAGATACGGGTTTTTGAATCTTTCTCAAGATTTGTGAGATTTGAACATCCCATCTCTTATGTATACTTCCTTACAGAAAAATCTGCCTCAATTCTCAAATAAAATAGGCAGGAATTTGGCGTCCAACACTTTTCAAATTTTTGCCACCAAATATTATCGCCGTGTATTATATTTAAAGGTACTAAATTGTAGGGACATTAGGTTATTTTGAAGCATAAGACGTGAAAAATGTGCAATACCCACGCCGGGACTCTAATTTGAACCTGTAGAGTGCGTGCCGAGTGTACTAACCGTTACACCACGATGGCATGCTAGAAGGAGGAAGAAAATCCCTCCTTTTAAAGGGCGACTAGGGATTAGGGGACCCAATCAATTGCCAAATCCTGGTAGTGAAGAATCATCATCTACCACCTTTTAAGTTCAGGCAACACTGTAGAGACATTAGGTTATTTTGAAGCAGGAAGACGTGAAAAATGTGCAGTACCCTCGCCGGGATTCGAACCTGGACCTCCCGAATACGCGCTGAGTGTGCTAATGGTTGCACCACGAAGCCATGCTAGGAGAAAATACCATATAAAATAATGAAGAATCTTATGAATGTATGTATGTTTCTCGCATAGTGGGAAAAAAAAAAAAAAAAAAAAACCGGCACCCAGAGTCATGAAATTTTAAATAACATAGTCCTCATCCGAACATGGGCACCTGGTAGCCCGAATTCGTAATTTGTTTTATCCTCTATTTCATATTTTGTTAAAACTTTAACGAATTTTTTATAAAAAAGTTCAACAATTTCAAAGCGAGCAGTGGAGACATTGTAGGGAGTAAAAAATTTTTTCTGCAACGCGCGAGACTGTCTATCGGAAATTCTAAAGATATGCTGATTTTAAATATTTTTAGTACAATGTGGCGTTAGCCCAAATGCTTTCAAAACGTGTATGTGTCTGTTAAAAAAAAAAAAAAAAAAAAAAAAAGCCCCTTTGGTCGTAGTATAAAATATAGCTTTCAGCTTTTTAAAGTTCTTTTTAATTATTTTATAACTAGCTATAAAATTTTAAATATATTTAAATCAAGTTCTTCCTATTGCTTATTTCAAAATTACTTAGATATTTTATTTATGCGCCTGATTTTTTCTTAATAAAGTAATTATTCTAAAAGAACAGCAATCCCATTCGATTACGAGATTCCCCTTTATGCAATTACTATATAATTAAAAATATTATTGCAGAATGACTTTAACATATGAATTGAATGTACTACTTATTGTATTAATTTTAATATACAGTATAATAATTATGTATATATTTAATATATTAATTGTTATATATTATATATTAATCCTGATTAAGTATTCTAATGGTATTAACATTTATGCCGTTATTAAGAAATATTTACTTGCTTTTAAATTTCTTGGTTTGTGGCAAATATATTTCTAATATCTTTATAAATATTCTAGTTTATTTACAGATTATTAAACCTTCAAAATATTCCACAGATTATTTTTTACATGATGCATTTCTATTGATATTTATTTTTATCCGTGTTTTATGTATGATTTACCTATTTATTTTTAGGAATTTGTGGAGATAATGCCGAAAGAAATTAAAAGCGGTATTAAGGTTATTTTAATTAACTCCGTCAGTTTCAGCTCTGCAGCCTTCTAAAGTCCGAAGAATAATTTCGCGTTGCGAAAGTATTTGGCTGGTTGCCGAAATTTTATTCGTAATTGACAGACGAGACAGACATGTGACATAAGTGGGAAAAGGAAGTAGGCTTGCTTAAGTGATGGGATAATTCTTAAAATAGCATTTCGTCTTTATTGCTACTGTTATTTCCTGGGTCTAATGGTAAAAAGCGGCGGGGAAAAAATGATGACTATTGAAACCATACTGATTAATAAAAGCTTTTCTTTAAAACTGTGTTTTTGTTTTCGAATGCGTCTGATCCTTAATAAATATGTTCAATAAATACTATTCATAAGCAATCATTTTTATGAAATAAGGTGTTTGCAATGAAAATATGCAAATGAAATATGAAACAAAGTGATTTCCAAAAGTAAAGCTGCAAACGCTCATTAATTTTCGAAATTTGATAATTTTATGTTAAACTGTAGATGTAAGTTATGGAAAATACTAAAATCATTTCCGGGATAATTTTCGTTGTTCAAACAAATCTGCGAGGTCAACAAATCAACCTAATGGTGTTCCAAAATGACATTTTTATCAGAAAGTATTCGGGATATTTTTGAAAATTTCTTCTTGTAATTTTGCGCGTAGCTGCTTGCGTCTTACTTTCATCTACAAAATAAAGAATTTTTCTCAAAAGCATAATAGAAGCGTGATAAACAAATGAAGCAAGATGAAAATTTTCCTTGGCAGTATGCCAAATACTAAATAAGCTTCTTTAGAAAATAACACGAGTAACTTACGGCCAAGGCCAAATACCATTAGCCACCTCTATGGAATGATTGTTGTAGTAAAAAAAAAAAAAAAAAGTGTTGGTACACCTAGCTGTCGATTAAAATTCTCAATTCCTAAACTAATGGTGTTTCAAGAGCAAGCAGCAGTCAATTGTTTGCTTATTTGCGATATGCGCCATCTATCGCTGAGGAGGAAAATTTCTTTTAAGCAAACGATTGGTGTTCGGATCGCTGTGAGCATGCGATAGAATGCCATTGTTCCCATGAGCTTTCATAATCTCTTATGAAAATGATATTTAAACGTGGCCTTTGTCATTTTGTTTAATGGTGATTATGCGCATCATTTTGGCTGCTATCCAGTACTACAGGTTGGAAAAGCTCGGGGGGGGTTGGTGGAGAGCGCTGATATGAAATGTTTTGGAAGTTAACGTTAATCTGAACGGTATTTCACTAACTTTGGCTTTCATAATTTGCGATCGTGGTATATCTTTAAACAAACTGTTTATTTTATGTGTGAACTGGTTATTTTGAACTCGGTTAACTTCATTTCTGTAAAAATAGAAGCCGAAGAAAACAGAAATTCGAGTATTTGTTTTTTTCAATATCAGCATTTTTATTTGTAAATAATTTACTTTTTTTGTAAAGA